TAGCTGGTATCGTGTGGTTGTGAGGTATAATGTTCACCATGTTACACTCTGCACTGGTGCTCAGAAACACCGATACGCTGTCGTTTAAAGGTGTCGACAATAACACAGAAAGTTGCGCCGTTTCACTCACCTGCAGATATAGATCGTGAGTTGATACTTCGAGAACGACGAAGGAACGAGACAATGATATACTTATTAGTATTTCGGCGATGATGAGCCACACGCGGGTCGAGCTGATTATTTGAATGTACTGTAGCATTTCGTTGTTGGTACCAGCTAAGAATTCTATCAGAATTGTTGGAGAAAACACATTCAAATTGCCGCTGACGACTAAGTGAACACTTCTCCCGGTCAAATGCAAGTTGATTTTCATTACAAGATAATTATATATACTTTGTGATGTGTGCGCATGCTCGTTAGACCATATGCAGGCAACCATAGCAACAAAGATAACACGACCACATCACAGGAGGTGAGGACCTCCGGAAAACGATTAACGATGGATGTAAAACCTAGATTGAAATATGTTTACACTTTCTGTTGAGAGAAACATACACGTGACTTTATTTTTAATACAAAGTTTTTATTTAAAATAAATTGATGGAGAGCTTTACTTTGTTGTTTATGAGCCGAATTTCACAACGGGCTATCTACGGTGTACGCACTATGTGTTTAAAACCCCAATATTAGCTTATCGCTGGACAAAGAAAATTAGTAAAAATTCTCCACCCCACTACTGTATTGATGAGCTACTAACAGGACAAAGGGAACTGACAAACTCTACCAGACCATTGTAATGTTGAACTACTAACAGGACAAAGGGAACTGACAAACTCTACCAGACCATTGTATTGTTGAGCTACTAACAGGACAAAGGGAACTGACAAACTCTACCAGACCATTGTATTGTTGAGCTACTAACAGGACAAACGGAACTGACAAACTCTACCAGACCATTGTATTGTTGAGTTACTGACAGGACAAAGAGAACTGACAAACTCTACCAAACCATTGTATTGTTGAGTTACTGACAGGACAAAGGGAACTGACAAACTCTACCGGACCATTGTATTGTTGAGTTACTGACAGGACAAGGGAACTGACAAACTCTTCTAGACCACTGTATTGTTGAGTTACTGGCAGGACAAAGGGAACTGATAAACTCTACCAGACCATTGTATTGTTGAGTTACTGACAGGACAATGGGAACTAACAAACTCTACCATACCACTGTTTTGTTGAGTTTCTACGTGAGGGTCATGTTGCACCACGACCTAGAAACATCTGCTTTTCCATTTCTTAAAGCTGTCCTTGCAAGAAATGGAACCGTAAGATTTTGAAGTTAATGTTTAATAGTGTCGTAATTATCTGCTTTGTCTCATAATAATTGCTAATTGTTTGTTTTAGAATAAAGCCACATTATATTATCAGCTGTGTCCGCTGCGGGTATCGAACCCTGGATTTTAGCGTTATAAGTCTGTATAATTTTTGCTGTTCCACCGGGGGACTATTAAATGCTTTACTATGTAGTTATTCTTTTGTATCAACATTTTATACATTAAATCATTCTCTTTTTTTATTCATAAGTTTTAATAGTGTATCATTTTTTATTACAGCATCAATAGTGCACAAATATTTGATTATTTTACCCGTCGATATGAGCTTTATAAAAAAAAATCAAAACAAATATTTCTATTCGTAAGCTATAAACTATAAAACATACAGCGTGTGGTTAAATAGTCGGCTTGTATCAAACCAGCCGCTAGATGACGCGGTTCAAGTTTCATTACTTTTATATAAACACGAAGGGGGCCGTCTTAGCAATATAGGGTTTGGGCGCAATTAACAGGATTAATACATTGAACAAGTAGAAGACTTAATATTACCGATTTGGATGCCTGTTTTTCGATGTTATTAAGCTTCAGTGTGAGAAGTTCCTCTCTTGGTTGTACAGGCTTGCTCAAGTCCAATATGCAAGGTTTTAGTGTTTAAATGCCCCCTTGCGGCCCTAATAATAAATTTCTAGCTCTTAAGACCTTATCTTTTATATTACAAGCTGATTGGACTGGTTGATATTTAATTATTAGTATCAAACACGACCAGTGAATACTGTTACAAACTGTTTTTGTTTCTAAACACGTTCAGTTAATATTGTAACATTGTTTTTATTTTGAAACACGTTCAATAAATTTTGTGACATTTTTTTATTTTGAAACATGTTAAATGAATATTGCGACAGATGGTTTTTATTTTTTCTAAAAGCAATGATACAGAAATAAAATAAAAAAACGTTTACAAATACACATACCAGATCAACGCGATTTAAAATAACGATTTCTTGCATGTAAACATCCACAATAATGTAACGACATTTACAAAGCTTATATTTTATTCATTATTCGGTAAAACCCGTTGCACATAAACCTATATACATAACACTGTGCCATATATATACAGTCGTAACAATAAGGTGTACACATGTGGGTATAGAGAGTCTTCTGATTATTTTGTTAATTATTTCTGGCCCTTCTGGTTAGACTGCGTATAGGAAGAATTATCCACGTACGAAGAGCGCGTTCTAGGCACGTGCCTGATATTTATGTTGAATTACAGTTGTTTATCACCTGCATGACGTTCTTATATTCAGCAAAATTATTTCTACTCGGGCTTGCTTTATATGATCAGACATACAATACATAAATTTTCTTCCAAGTATTCCTTAGTCAGAAATACTACACAAGTTCCAAGTACTCCTGACTAAGGAATACTACACATGTTCCAAGTACTCCTAACTAAGGAATACTACACAAGTTCCAACTACTCCTGACCAAAGAATACTACACAAGTTCCAAGTACTCCTGACTAAAGAATACTACACATATTCCAAGTACTCCTGACTAAAGAATACTACACATGTTCCAAGTACTGTTGACTAAGGAATACTACACTGACTATTACCGCACACTTACCAGTAATTATACTTTCAATTCAACTACAAGCTAACATCTTCTGCTTTCTTCTGAAATACTACCTGTCATGTAAATCGTCTTGCTGCAGAACAGGTACTTAATGTAGAAGATAATGGCCATGAACTACACACCAGGATAAAGTTAAATGTAGGAGATGGTAGTCATGAACTACACACCGGGATATAGATAAATGTAGGAGGTGATGGTCATGAAATACACATCAGATATAACTATATGTATGATATGGTGGCTATGAACTACACACCAGGATATGATTATATGTTGGAGATGGTGGGCATGAAATACACACCAGGATATAGTTACATTTAGAGATGGTGGTCATGAACTACACACCAGGATATAATTCTATGTAGGAGATGGTGGTCATGAACTACACATCAGATATAATTCTATGTAGGAGATGATGGTCATGAACTACACACCAGGATATGATTCTATGTAGGAGATGGTGGTTATGAGCTACACACCAGGATATGATTCTATGCAGGAGATAGTAGCTATGAACTACACACCAGGATATGATTATATGTTGGAGATGGTGGGCATGAAATACACACCAGGATATAGTTACATTTAGAGATGGTGGTCATGAACTACACACCAGGATATAGTTACATTTAGAGATGGTGGCCACGAACTATAATATTGATATAATTCTATGTTGGTCATCGAGATACAATACAATGTACCAATTATTAACCATGAAATACCAACTACAATACAATTTTGGGTAGGAAACTCCAGCCAAGCAGAAAGTTGATGCGAAGACTAAAACCTGCCATGTACGGGTATTTACCGAGAAACGTACTGTGTACACGTAGAAAACTTCTGAATATATACAGGTATATCTGTATTCGAAGTGTAATAAAACAAATTAGTACTATGGCCATGATTTCAGTTTAAAAAAAATTCTATATGACTATTACTGCTTCACATACACAAGTTATTTCTAGTGCTGTATTTGGGAAAAAACATGTACGATACAGATTTCTGTGAAAACATATCAAACATGAACACATCAGTTTAATCAACACATACGAAATGCACAAAGCGCCTGACTGAAGATGACGTAACCCATATTATTAAACGTCTGATGTGAACAATGCACACACACACACTGGGAGACTAACTCGCATGTTTTTATGCACTTGTTACTTTAAACACATCTTTAAGTAACGTAGCCACTTTGCTCACGTGATCCACGCCTTGCTTGTAATTGGTTAATATACGATGTAGTATGGTAAAATATTTTTAGAAGTTGAGGAAAGTTTCACTTTTTCACATTCTTTACGACGCGGTTTACTGTTTGCTTGAAATAGTTTCATTATTTACGAAATCACTTTTTGTCTAATGATGATGAAAATAAAGGGTTGCTTGCTTCATCTTTATGGTTTTCTGAAAACGACTTCTGGTAATTTTCCAACGCCTTCATCTCAGCATCTGCAAAAATAAATATCTTGCTCTAATAAAACAGCTGTTTTAAGAAGTGAAATTCGTTAGTGTTAGCTATAGAGAAATACGCTAGTGTTATGGCGAGACACGTCAGTATAAGCTAGTGTTGGCTATAGTGAAATACGTTAGTGTTAGCTATAGAGAAATACGCTAGTGTTATGGCGAGACACGTCAGTATAAGCTAGTGTTGGCTATAGTGAAATACGTTAGTGTTAGCTATAGAGAAATACGCTAGTGTTATGGCGAGACACGTCAGTATAAACCAGTGTTGGCTATAGTGAAATACGTTAGTGTTAGCTATAGAGAAATACGCTAGTGTTATGGCGAGACACGTCAGTATAAACCAGTGTTGGCTATAGTGAAATACGTTAGTGTTAGCTATAGAGAAATACGCTAGTGTTATGGCGAGACACGTCAGTATAAACCAGTGTTGGCTATAGTGAAATACGTTAGTGTTAGCTATAATCTAATCAAAAACACCTTAAGTGTGAAAAAAAAGTGCGGCCATAAAAGGATTGAGCGTGCAACTTAAAGCAATGAAATCAAAATTGGCGGCCAAACTTTAGCTACACTTATAGCATTGATAAGAATTTTACAGCAAATATTCATTCATTAGTTAGCCAGGCCACGTTTTTTGTCCAACTTTGGACATGATGGTGGGTAAAATAAAATACGCGGCCTGGCTAACTAATGAATGAATATTTGCTACTAGTTTGACCTCCAATTTTAATTTCATTCCTTTAAGTCGCACGCTTTTTTTTTCACACCTCAGGTGTTTTTGATTAGATACCATGACATTTTGTCAACATACAACAAACTACACCAAATAAGAAAATGACACTCGATAATAACCAATACTAGCTTTAGGATCGCAACCCTATCATTCGGAACAGAACATTACAGAACCAATCAGATATATGGTGGTAGTTTTCCTTTCTAAAACAGTGTTGTAACTTCCTTTATACTAACGGCCTGGAATTTAGATTAACAGTTTCTTGTCATTACCTCCATGCAATCGGTACAGCCGTATCAAGCATCATTATTTATTCTAATTGCTTAAGCTGGTATCACGTGACGTTAAACGCTCTTTAATTAGAATAATTTCATAAACTTTAGTAAATTTGTGCTGAAAAAATGGCAATGAATAATCAATAATAATCGTCCACCCATATGATTCTTTTGAAAACTTCAGCTAGAAACTGTTAATTTTGTTTGTTTGGCCTAACCAATACTTATGTATCTGCTCGTTTTGCTGCTCTTAATCAGCCGTATTTAATCCGAATGACAAATAAAAAAAACAAAAAACTAAAAACGGTCCACTTTTACTTTTAAATGAAGATGTAGTAAAAATGTTAGACCAATAGCTCACGTGACGTTTTGCGTTATATTTGAATAGAGTTTGTTGAATAACTTTGTACATGTGGCTTATATTTACACCAAACGAGACTTCTAATTGTAGGTTGAGAAGATCTATCGGTGTACCAAATTTGAAAAAAAAATCCATACAAGTTTCCGTACTTTCGGTGCGAAGAAGAAAAAAAGGAAGAAACTCAATCAAAATTGGAGATGTTGTATCTCAGGTACTTCTTAATGTGAAGAGAGTCCAGTAGAGTACATTCGTTTAAAATAGATAATAGTTTGAATTGCTACTACTGTCCGAACTACAGAATATAGAAAATCGCTAAACTATCACTCTTGTTTAGTTTGGTTTGAATTTCGCGCAAAGCTACACGAGGGCTATCTGCGCTAGCCGATCCTAATTTGGTAGTGAAAGACTAGAGCCAATCATCAGCAACCTCCGCCAACTCTTGGGTTACTCTTTCAACAACGAATAATGGAATTATAACGCCCTTATGGCTGAAAGGGCGAGCATGTTTGGTGGGACTGGGATTCGAACCCACGACCCTAAGATTGCGAGTCGAGCGCCCTAACCACTTGGCCATACCAGGCCCATCACCCCTGTTAATAACACACATATAGCAGTAATATACTAGAAGGAAGGCAGCTAGCCAACATCAACCACCGCCAGCTCTTGGATTACTCTTTCATCAACAGTTAGCGGAATTGACCGTCACATCATAGCTTCTCCGCGGCAGAAAGAGGCAAGCATGTTCAGCGACAGCGATTCGAACCCGCGTCCCAGAGATTGCAAGTCGAGTGTTGTACCATTAGGCCATGCTACGCCAGCTGTAGTGAAATATATAAGGGCTAAATATATTGAGACACGTTAGTGTTAGCTATAATGGGATACGCTCGTGTTAGCTATAGTGAGATACGCTAGTCAGCTACATTGAGACACGTTAGTGCTAGCTATAGTGGGATACGCAAGTGTTATTTATAGTGAGATACGCTAATGTCAGCTTCAATGAGACACGATAGGGTTAGCTATTGAGGGACAGGGTAGTGTTAGCTATAGAGATACAGGATATTGTTAACTATAGTGAAATACGCTAATATTAGTATTAGCTGTGATGGGATACGTTAGGGTTAACTATAGTGGCATACGCTAGTGTTAGCGATAGTGAAATATGTAAGGTTAATTATAGTGAAATACGTTACTACTAGATAATGAGATTCGTTAGTGTTGGCTAACGAATACTAATCAGCGTTGTAACTATCATCACATCACGGTTGGATCAATGCTGATTGTAAATATGGAACGCTTTGTTGACATTCCAAGATGAACTTCATGCAAAAGAAAAAATGCGAAGAAAACTGAGAACGGTGGGAAATAAATCTAATAAAACAAGGTCGCTGTAAAAACACAACAGTGAAAAAGAAACGAATTTATTTTATCTGACAACGTTTCGCGCAACCGCTCTTCATCGGGCTTAATTCCGTTTTTATATTAAGCCTAAGGAAAAATGGTTGCTATAAACATTGCTAGATAAAATAAAGTTATTTCTGTTCCAGGTTTTTGCATCCACATTTACAATAAATTTTAAGTCACCTATTACAATAATTACGTTCCTCATAGAAGCTGACATATTGCATTCTCAATCTCAACGCTTCTAGGGCTGTTGAATGTGTTTAACCACCCTTAAAGCAACACCGGTAGTCAACAATCACAAAAGTTGACTTTAGGAATAGGTCACCATAACGTTGAATGTCAATGGTGAATTTTGGAATGTGCTCTAAAGGTGAATTATAATGAAATACGTTTGTGACGGATTTACTATTACATATATGTTTTAATATCGATGTTTGTTTGAAATGAATTTATATTTGGAAATGTGCTTGGCGTGTACTGTTAAATATGTATTGCGAAACTCCTGCCTATTCTCTAAAGTTGTAGATGATTCTCGAGTGTAAGAATCAACAATATATATGTGTACGTAAACACTAATGTAGCTTTGTATTGTTACGTAATCTGAATTTTACGAGAAACTCTCCACACGCCTATAAATATAACCAACTCGACGCGCCAAAAAAGAGTATCTATTATTGAGTTGCTGTAACTGGTGTGCTGTAAACTATGTAAGCTATAACTGTGATTAACGCTTATTAATCGGGAAACTTCAGATATTTGACCAGGAACGTTTATAAACTTCGAACATTACAAACCATTTAACTTCAGTGGATTCACATTGGACATTAGTACTTTTACAAAAACATTACCTAACGTCATCGGTGGAAAAAATCGACGAAGAATACAGAGATAGCTAGCTCCATATTAAGTGAATTGTACCTACGTCAACTCGAAATTAACTCGCTGATCGTG